CCGGTAATCGTGTTACCATGGCTACTCGCTCCAATCTGTACTTTTCACCTGAAATTGACCTGAGTGCAATGACTGAAGAGGTCAACCGTTATTCGGGTTCAGTGAAACGTGATTATGGTGGCCCATCAAGACAGGGGATTCTTCGTGGTAGGCCATCCAACCGGTCAGCGGAAATTGTCCAACGGCTACAAGCTAACGATAATGAGATAAAAAGGTCAGGGACGAGTAGAAATCAGGAAAAGGAATCATGTTTCTAGATCAGGTCAATTTCTTTGTCAAATACCTTAAATTGAATAAAAATCTCTTTGTTTTTACATAGTATCATATCAAGTAACAAGTATCATATCTTCTGTCAAAATGAAACTTTATTCACGATGCTTCCCCCGTGTGCTTTTGATCCTTCTCGATTCTTTCAACAGAAACCAAGACTAAAAACCATACAAATTGACAAACATAGAAATCAGTTTAAAGCTCACTACAAAGTTTGTAAAACTGTAAAAGTCGCTCTACTCAATTACAACATAGACTATTTTTTATACTCACACTCTTCTTCATTTTAATCTTTCTTCTTTAACTGAATACTAATATTAATAACATTCTCTATTGTTATGCTCCTTGAAACTAAGTGTAAATGATTCTTCATCGAAGTATCATGCATACTTAAATTAAGTTAGAATATGTATCAATAATAACCTACCTATTTTCGTTTATGATGTTGATTTATAAACGGCTTTTTCTTCATTGTATCATAAAAGAAAGAGGCAAATCCAACCACGCAAATAAATGTTTAATTTTTTTGTCTCTACTCTGACGTGGAGACGAAGGAGACATCCCTTGCACATAAAAGGCATTTATAATGTTAATAGTTAGGCTAGTATATCCATTTCCAACAGTCCTGGAAATATAATTTCAATTCTTTCTCAACATATTTTCATTCCATTTTTCATAACTACAAATTCCCTCCCTTTTGTTAGGCTTCTTTAATCACTAAATTGGAAATGTAAAAATTATCCAGCCTGCTGATTGCATCTGTAAAATAGACAAAAGCATCAGTATTTTATATTATATCTATGAAAGCATAACTGATACTTACAATCGGTTTTATTTGTCTGCAGGATATATTATCCTTTTAAAATTAGATGTTTACTTATGATGCTTATGGGAAAAGTTATAGTTGGTTTTAATCCTCTTTATATATTACTAAGCCGAGAAATTATAATAGAAATAAAATTTTGCTTAGGCATCAGCTAATATATTTTCTAGATCGAGTGATTCCTATTAAGTACGAGCTAATAAATTCCGACTAAGTGATTATGAACGAGTTATGCATTCGCTGCTTAGAACATAAGAGTCAAGTTACTAATATGAAAAGCCAGCTTCTCAACCTCAATACTAGCCCTACATAGCCTAAATTTGCCTCTAAAAAATAAAAAAAATCTAGAATACTTGTAATTTATAATGAGGTAGCCATCATTTTAAAAACTCATTTAGAATGGCTAACTACATTGCTTCAAAAGGTAGTCAAT